GGCATGATGACCATGGGTACTTAGAAGAAACTAGGTAATTAGAAACAGTTTATCTGATTTCTTTCTTTCTTTTCTTTCTTTCTTTTTTTTTTTTTTGTGACAGAGTCTCATTATGTCGCCCTCAGTAGAGTACCATGGTGTCACAGTTCACAGCAACATCAAACTCTTGTACTTAAGCAATTCTCTTGTCTCAGCCTCCTAAGTAGCTGGGACTACAGGCACCTGCCACATGCCTGGCTATTATATTTTGGTTGTTGTTATTGCAGTCGTCATTGTTGTTTAGCAGGCCTGGGCTGGGTTCAAACCCACCAGCCTTGGTGTATGTGGCCGATGCCATAACCACTGTGCTACAGGCACCGAGCCATCTGATTTCTTTTCTGACCAATTTTTCCCTCCTTGTTCTCTCTTATGATTTCTTCCTGTTGCATGGCCTTTAAAAAAATTTAGTACTGAGTATTGTTCGCAAGCTGAAGCTGAATTAATTCTAAGAGTATGTAGTTATTTCTTAGTGTTACTTCCTTAAGACTCTCATACTGCACCATCAACCAAAACGGTGCTTAATAAAATCTGGGTCCTCAGCTTTACTCCTACAGGCCAGTAGCTTCACTCTGTCCCACCAGATCCCAGCAGGGTCAAGTTACATCACTTGTTACTAAGGAAACTGGACTGGGTGTTCCCGTGGATCCTTCAATCTCACATCTTCCTCCAGATGGCGTCTTGTCTCTTTTCCAAAACTAAATTTCTCCTCTTTCCTCTTTTTCTTTCACCACAAATTCATTGGAGAACACTTTGTCCACTGGCTTTACCCCTCTGTTAAGGTCACTAATGACCTCATGGCTAAATCCATTGGTTTCCGTGTTTCACTTCTCATATCTCAAAGTATCAGAATTCTGGCATAGTCTAGCTTTACTGTTACTTAAGGAAGTAACACTACCCACCCTCAAGGCTACAGGTGTTATGAAGAGTCTCAATTCTAGGTTTTCTTTCTTCTCCACCCTCCCCCCTCCTTTTTTTTAATACAGATGAGTGTCTC